TTAACGTTTCCCTGCTAAAAATCAGCGCTGCTCCGCCAAAACAAAAGCGTGAAGCAAATGTGGAGCACATAAAGACTGCTTAGCAATTATACGTAATCGGCATTAAAGCGTATTGTTTTCCTTGCGGTTTGTCTTGTATTTTATTAAATGGGGGGTCTGTGAACACAACCTGTAGCCCTTCGGATTGCAGTCGCCCTCCCAGTGACAGCGGCAGTAGCAGAGAGGAGCTTTTCAGAGCTCAAGTGGATTAAAACACACCTGAGGTCAGCCCTGACAAAAGAGACCATCTCAGTGGACTGGCCATGGTGAGCATCGGCCATGATGAGGTGGCCAGCTGCTACTGTATGAAGATGTAAATGGTGATATTGCCTCCAGAAGCCCAGGCGAATTGATTTTTGTTAACGTTTTTTTAATCTGATGTTCCCAACTGCAAAAATGTACTGATCTCACCTCCCTTGTTACTTAGTGCACTTATTTCTTACACTATGACATTCATTTCTACAATTCCTTTCTACAGAGTTTTCAATACGATATTCTGTAAGTCAGGATTTGCTATCATTTTGAAGTAACAGAGATCCTGATTATCGATATTTATTGTGATTGATGTTCCTATTCATGACTTTCAATGTTAAAATACGTTAGCCTTGTAAAACGGGTGCTTCTTGTTCTTGATTGTAAATCATTATGTGTTCTTCAGAGCTGGTCAATATAAATTTTCTAGTTGAATAATTCATGTATCTAATTGTTCTAAACAGTACAGTTAGTTTGGGGTGGGAGCTGATGATACAGTAGTAGTGTATGTGCAAATAGGGAGATCTTCCCTTGTGCTCCCAAACGTGAGGGCCAGCCCTACCAGAAGGTTATGACAAGCCAAGAAAAATAAACAGCAACCTACTGTAAGATGCAACCCCTAGATGGTAAAACATCTATATAAAGCGTAAGTGTACATTTCCAGCTTCTTTAAAATGACTCATTCTGCTAGGCTGAAGTATCGTTCAGCCAGGCCTATCCTACACACTGCATCTATTGCAATGGATTTGTGTCTCTCTGCACGCGATAATCTACCCAATCAGTTATAAATCCAGTCCATTCATCCACCTAAGCATCCGTTTGCTAACAGCTTTATCCAGTACAGCGTCACAGGGGAGCTGAAGCACTATCCCAGCAAGCAGCCGGCACAAGGCAGGATTCGCCCTGGGCCAGAAGCCAGCTCCGGCACTCACACACCCACACGAGGCGCAGTTTTCCCAGAGGCCAACTAACCTGCCAGCGTTTCTTTGAACTGTGGGAGGAAACCAGAGCACAAGGGGAGAACATACAAACCCCACACAGATAGCACCCCAGGAATTGGACCCCGGGCCCCAACGCTGCAATACTAACCACTGCACCACTGCGCCCATAGGCGAGAGCGAGTCTTCATGAACCCCAAGGGGGCAGTTTGATTTTACAGCAGCAGTTGGCGTGCGGACGGAAAAAACAAAACACGACGACAACAACAACACGCATCCACATTTGCGTAGAAAATTGAGTGTTAAGTAAATCCCTCCATTTTCTTATCGCTTCTTCCAATTTAGGGTCACGGGAGAGCCGGTGCCAATCCCAGCATGCAACAGGTGCACCAGAGGGGTGCCGGTCCATGACAGGGGAGACACACAGACGCACGCACACACTCACAGCAGGCCCAGTTTTCCCAGAAGCCAATGAATGTGCCACAGTCCAGTAACATACTGGTAGGTTAATTCCCAGTTAACTTTCCCCTATGTTGTTGGACTGTGGGACATACAGTAGATAGCACCCCAGGAATTGAACCCAGGGCCCCAGTATCCTTTAAATAGGTGGAATGTTTAATGCTTTTATCTTTTATGATCTCTTGAGGCGAGAAAAATCTCTTGGCTCCCTTCAAGAAATGCAGCTGACACTTCCTGGATGATTCATTAAGGAGAACAAGTATTTGCCCTTTCATTGGCATGGCCTACAAACGAAAAAAGAAAGAAAAGGTATTCCTGAGAAAATCTAGCACTTTTGATTGAATTCTGGAGTG